CGCAGGCAGCACAGCTTAGCGCCACGGCGGCGGCCGTAGGAACCAAGCAGGCGGGCAGCCGGTGGTGGCGATGGTGGTGGCGGCGCTGACAGGCACGGGCGCCCCTCCTGCGGGTGGTGGGGCTGGGGGCGGCGGGTCCCCACTGGGTGGCTGGGCCATGGCGCAGCTGGAGGGCCGCGAGTTCAAGTACCTCATGAAGAGGCGCTCGGTGACCATGGGCACAACTTGTCGCAGGGCTCGGTGGACATGAGCATGGGCCACTCGAACTTCATCTCACGGCACCACCTGGAGATGTTCACACCCCCAGGCGGCAGCCATGGCGCGGGCACCCACACAGCCCCGGCCAAAATGGCGTTTTTGTGGGCGTGTTCCAGAGGCGCGGGGCTTTCTCAGTGGCCAGAGAGAGGGATGGAGAGGGGTGGGAGATACAAATAAGGGGTCTTGTCTACTTAGACCGAGAATAAAAGGAAGGAGGAGGAGGAAAGGAAGGTTTAAAATAGCGTAGAGAAAAATACAAAACCAGACCCCCCCCCAGTAAGACAATTAGCACAACCATCAAGCACGCGCACCACATTGAATCACATTCGTGCGGAGGTCCTTTCGCTCAGATGCACGCTGCACTCACCACTCTCACTTTCAGGATCCCTGAGACTTTTTGTGATTCTCCCAAATGGCGTCCACTCAGACTGCCTCAGAGTAAGGAGCTCGATATGAGAAGTTTAGTTCGGTTTTCCTGTATTTGTTGAGTCTTGCTTTCTGTCTTGGTACAGGATATGTTTTAGAGAAAGTTTCATGTGCTATTAAGAATGTATATTATGTAGCTTTTAAGTTGTTTAATTTTCATAGGTCAGTATATGTATGTATGTTTTGTATATTTGATGTATGCTGTCTTTTAAGTCCAGCATTTCTCTGCTTAATTTTCTGTACGGTTGTCCTGTCTGTTAATGGAAGTGGAACACTGACATCGGCTACTATTATTGTGTTGGGGTTAGTCTGTGACCTCATGTGTAGTAGTGTGCATATTTTTAGATTTGTAAATTCTTCTTGATGGAGCTTTCTCATAATTAGTATGAAGTGGCCTCTTTATCACTATGGCTACTTTGATTTGAAGTCTTTTTTGCCAGATATTAGAACAATGACACTTGCTCATTTCCTGTTCTTTCGTTGGGATACATTTTTTCATTCTTTTACCCTACAATAGTGTCTGTCTTGGATGATCAACTGTTTTTTCTGGAGGTACCAGATAGATGGATCCTATTTCTTCAAATCTGGTTTTGAACGCTGTGTCTTTTGGTTGGAAATTTGAGATTATTAAAATTCAGAATTATTGAAATGCAGGTATTGAGCCCTGCCATTTTGTTGATTATTTGGTGTTTTCCTAAGCCTTGTTTGTTTTACTCTTCTAGCATGGTTTATTCTGTCTTATAATCTCTTGGATGTGTCTATATTTATCTTCAGCCCAAAGAATTCCTTCCAGTATCCTCTGTAGAGCTGGCTTAGTGATCATAAATTACTTTAGCTTATTTTCATTATTGAAAAATTTCTTTCTCCTCAATTATGACAGATAGTTTTGCTGTGTATAGTAGTCTGGATTGGCAGCTGTGGTCTTTCAGCCCTTGAAATACATCGTTCTAAGCTTTTCTGATTTCCAACTTTCTATTGAGAAATTAGCTGTTATTTTGCTAGGTTTACCTTTATATGTAGCTTAGTGTTTCTTTCGGCTTTCAGTGTACTTTCTTTTTGTTTTATAGATCCAGTGTTATAATTCTCATTTTACATGAGGAGTTTATTTTGTGGTACTTTCTATTTAGTGTCCCGTATGCCTCTTGTACCTGAATGGAGCCTCTTTTTCCCCAGATTTGGGAAATTTTATGCTATGATTTTATTGAAAATGCTTTCTATGCATGTGGCATAGAATTCTTTCCCTTCATCCCTTCTCATAGTTTGTAACGTTGGTCTTTTCAGAGTGTCCCAGCGATGTGGCGTGCTCCAGCTATGCATTTTATTAAGTCTTTGAATGTTCCCTTTCCTCTGCTTTGTCTTCAAGCCCCTGTCTTGTCCTTCCATGATCCATTCTGCAGCTGAGGTTTCCGCGGGGTTTTTATTTGACACTCAGATGTTTCATTTCCAGCATCTAGGTCTGGCTCTTCCAGCATTCCTGTGCTGAATCCCTTACTTTACGAAGCTGCTTTGCCTTTGTCCAGGTTCTCTTGGAATTCATTCGTGTCCTCTGATTTCTTCCTTCCCTCCCTCCTTCTTTCCCTTCCTTCACCCCACCCCCTCTTTCCTTTGTGTACTGAATGAACTCAGGGCTGTGTACATGGGAGGCAAGCACTCTAGTACTGTGCTGCGTTTCCAGTGATTGCTCTTATTTCTTTCACCATCCTCATAATTGTTCTGTTGAATTCTTTGGGATTTCTTGTCAGTCACACTCATTGGTATCATTTTTGGAGGAGACATGTTGTCTTGGTTTTTCTTGTTACTTGTGTTTTTGTGTTGGTAGGTGTGCAACTGGGACTAGGTCATTGGTTGAATTTCTTTTTTAAAAAATGTATTTAGGCCACCTACTTCCAGTAGAAAGGTTTGTAACATTTAAGGGGTATATTAGTCAGGGTTCTCCAAAGAAACAGAACCAGTAGGATGAATATATATGTATAGAGGTTTATCAGCTTAGCTCACAGGATAGAGTCCGAGTAGTCCAACAATGGCTGCACCACACTGGAGAGGCTGAGAATCCATAGTCGTTCAGTCCACGAGGCTGGATGTCTCAGTAGTCCCAATCTGGTGCTGAAGGTCTGACGAATTCCAAATGATCAGCTAGTCTTCAGTCTACAGCAGCAAGATGAAGTCACCAGTGAGAGAGAAAGCAAGCAGCAAGAAGCCAGGCATTCTCTTCTGCCATAGCCTTTTATACCGGCTGCCATCAGAAGGTAATGCCCACATTTAGGGTGTGTCTTCCAGCGTTAGATGATCCAATCAAGAAGATCTCTTTCATTTCAGTTAATCCCAGATCCAATCAAGTTGACACCCAGGATTAGCCATCACGAGTCCAATCATCTAGAGCATATGTCTTCTGGAAAACCAACTTTTTAAACCTATTCCTTCAATATTTGGAATAGTTGGCTTGGTGCATCTTGTAGTTTTTACCAGAATATCCATGCTTTCTCTTTACACGATGCCATAACTAGTTGCTAATGTAAACTAAAATACAAATTCTGCATGCTATATATATAAACATTAGTTCAAACTACAGTATAAAAACAAAATTTAAAGCTGAAGTGTTTGCAGATGGCTTTCCTAAGATTGCAGTCCTCACAGCTCGCGCTTAATGCAGAATGAAGGGTTCACGTTACGGTACTTCAGCCCCAACTTCTAAAACTAGTGGGAGTTAGAAAACACTTTGTTGCTGGTTAAAACAATTCACATTCTTTCATACCAGGAGAAACTACATATAATATTAGAGAGAAAATGCAAAATAAAGTCGCTAGACTCCCTCTCTAGAGACCATCAGCTTGGACCACAGTAAACACCATTTGAGGAAAAAAAAGGAAAATAGGCTTCAATGTGTGTACTGGTTAAAACAGACATTTCCTGTAGGAAGCTCCTGTTGTTACACAATTCTCCCAGTTTTCACACTCTACTTATTATTTTATGTTTTTTATTCTTTAGTCAGTCATGGTGATGGGGCCTCTCACATAACAGGCAAGCATTCCACCACTGAGCTGTATCTGTAGTCCTTTATTTTATGTTGCATCTGTTGTACTCTGTGTCTCTAGTCCTTTATTTTATGTTTAAGTTGCTCAGGTTGGCCTTGAACTCTTGAACCTCTTGCTTCAGCCTCCTGCTTAGCTGGGATTACAGGCTTGTACTACTAGCTCATAAAACCCCATTCTAAAGATCATTTTGAAGATTGAAAGAACAAATTTAATGGCCCTAATCACAGCCTTCATGTTAAGGCAATGTTTTTAACTTTCATTCCACTTCCTACTGAGTATCTTCACACCTCTTAGGATAACTGAGGCTCTCCATATAGCTTTCAATAAAACATTTACATCTTTTGAGAACTGTGATTGGCAAATACTGTTCAAGTCCTGATAGTTCCCTAATGTACAAAGTAGAGAAGCAGGTGGAATCCCCAGGACCATTTAAGACCTATGTTGGAATCCAAGAAAACAAATGTAGTTGACAGATACCTGTTCCCAGTTTAGAACAAAGCTATAGAATATAGCAAAACTCCATTGATAAACATGCAAACAAAATGTAAATCATTTCAGGCCCCATGAAGACCAGAACCTACTAGTCAGCTTTGTCACTCTTCTAGTCTTCCTAAAAGGCTGACACTTTAATCAGCACAAATCCAATCAGGAATGTAATTTTTGACCTACTAACAGAAAATCATCCTAATACGAGTAGAATTAAAGGAATTCCCTTGGATCTTGTCCTTTAATATTTATTTCAGAGGGAAACCATGAAGTGGCTTCCATTGATCAGACCTTGGGGAATGTTCTTCAGCAGATTCAGCAGACCAGAGTGAGTTGTGCACTGTAGGGCTCTCCTCACTGTTTCTGTGCCAATTTTCCATAGCCGCCTCTCCCTGCATCATAGTCCTCCCGATACTCATCTCGAACCTTAAGAGAAAGGAACACGACACTGTAGAATGTTGATGTAACAAATATACCTACGGCAATCAACCAGACATAGCTAAACCTTTCCAGATGTTCATGAACAAACAGGACATAGCTATTTACCTTTGTTTTAAGGTTAAATCCATTTTAGGGCATTTTGCTTTGGTTCTAGGCATTTTTTGGGGGGAAAGGCCCTTTATCACCTGGTATGGTGATACTCGTGTAATTTCAACATTCAAAAAGGCAGACCAGGAAGAGCTCAAGTTTCATCCAGCTTTGGCTCTATGGCAACATCCTGTGTCAAGAAATCCCTCAAAATATTATCAAAACCGAGAGGCACAATACTCCTCATAAAATAGCCACAAAGTGATTTCAAAAACAAACAAAAAAAACACCCTAAGCCAGGTGTGATGGTGCATGCCTTTAATCCCACTACTCGGGAGGCAGAGAAAGGCGGATCTCTGTAAATTCAAGGCCAGCCTGTTCTACACAATGAATTCCAAGCCAGGTGGGGCTCTAGGGAGACCCTGTCTCAAAAAGTCAAAAACAAAAAACATGCATTAAACCTCAAATTCCAGGCAGAGATTGAGCCAGATACCCTTGTAGCATACCTGGCCCCCAGATCGCCCACGTCCGTATTGCCTGCCCTCCTTAAAGCCTGCATCCCAGTCTGTGCGTATGATCCTGTCATCCAGACGAGTTCCGTTTATGTACCGCATGGCGTTTTCTGCATCTGCTCTTGAATAGTATCTTAAGTATAAGTATTAAGGAATACTAACATTTCTCTAAACATTTTTAGAAAATGAAAAACAGGCACTTTTGAGCTCTGCCCTAGCTCAACAGTTACATTAGACATCAAAGAAGGATACTCCACAAAACAGAATCCACATGCTGTTTTCTTCATTTTATCCAGACCCATAATGATCTTCTTGATGTCGCCACTTTTGCTAAAGAGTTCATAAATTTGTTCTTCAGTTGTATAAAAGGAAAGATTTCCAACATACAACGTACAGCTTTTCTTCAGTAATTTTTCTTGTTCTTCATTGTCACCCTAAAATTTCAAATAGAGACAAAGTTAAACACTACATCTTAAAAAGAGCTTCGCTTAGGGCTGTAGATCAAAACGCTAGTAAAAGTGCAACTTGTGGAAGCCTGATGACTAGAGTTTGATCCGAAGAACTCACATAAAAAGCTGGATTTGTGGCACTCCTATGTGAGATGTGAGACAGGAGGTGGAGACAGAATCATCTGGAAGCTTGAGGGTCAGCCTAACCTGAAGTACACAGTGCAGTGGGAAATGAAGACTGCCTCAACTGGGTAGAAGAGGACAACCAACTCCTGAAACTTGTCCTCTGGCCTCCACAAGGAGGCCACATACAGACACAAAAGAAATTTTAAAATTAAAAACTAAAAATAAAGAGTCTTGCTTTAAATAATATTCCTGAGTATAATAAAGACATTCATTCTGATTTAGAAACAATTCTCTCATCTCTTAATCCTTAACACATTCTTTGCCATAAAGTGGATTGGGTGTATGTGTGTGTAAAGAGTAAAATTCTTAAAGCTTACTGCTCTTTCAGAGGACTCAGCTTCCCAGAAGCCACATAAGGTGGGCACAGCTGCCTGTAACTCCAGTTCCAGGGGATCATACACCTTCTGACCCCCTCTGGCACCTATGTGTATATGGCACACATAAACTTACGCAGACACAACACACACCAAATCTTTTTTAAGGGCTTTTTTTGATGAGGGGATTGGTGGTGTCTTTGGGATTGAATTCAGGTTGTGATGTATACTATTTCCCAGCCAGGGAGTGCTCACATTCCATGATATACTGGTGCAATGTCTAGACTGCTTTTACTGGAGAGACAAAGCCTATAACCCCTCTCCTGTACCACACTGCCATGCAAGTGGCATGCCTTTTTCTTGCATACTTCATGCCCTCAGCACTGGGCCCTGACATTGACCACACGATGGAACCTAGCCTGGACAGTAGCTGAGAAGATCTACGTTCAGGACAATAGCCCAAGAGCCCTCCTTTCATTTAGTATTCCTTAGGTAATACTAGTCCAGTTTCCTTTATTCATCATCTCTGAATGCTTTGTAGCACAGTGCTCAAGGTAACAGGTCTCATGTGAACACATAGTGGTAGGTTAGAGAAATACATGGAAATACCAGAAGGGAACTAAGGAGGCTGGCTTATTTTATAACAGCTTGTTCTAGTTTGGGGCTCAGTCTCTTTCACGACTAGCAATTTTTTCCAGGCTACTTTGGAGCTTATTTTTGAGGCTTCAGTATACTGCCAATAGAGCCATCACAAATGTTTAACCCAACTGTGACCCCCAATTCTTTACAGATGTCCTATGAAGAAAATTCCCTCCAAAGATTCAGCAGACTCACAACCAAAAATCTTAGTAAGAAATCCTCACAGCTTGACCCTCAATCCTAGTGCCAAGCTCTGCTCCCCTCCCCTCTACCAGAAGGTTCCAGGACAGAAAGGAACGTACCCTGGGGGAGATTAGAGGTGGCTTTCCCACCAGGTGGAAAGGGGTCTGGACATTTTCAGTGTAGAGAAAATAGGCAAAGAAGAGAACTAAGAGGCAAAATTAAGAGAGCTCAGGTCTTAGAGATCAGGATAAAGCAACAAATAATGCTGTTCAAATGTACCCACCATTTCCACATATATAACAAACAGGTCATCTGAGAATGCCAGAACAGGAAATGATTCTGACAAAGTCAATTGAGGCCTAACTCTTACACTGTTGTTTCTTGCTGGTAATGTCATGCAGCAAGGAAGCTTAGACTGTACAGCAATACTTTTGAATAATCTATGTGTGATCAGAGTATAAATACAATATTGGGTAGTTTGGTTGGAATATAATAATTACGGTAATGAGACCTTTTTGGTTTTTCAGAAATTTGTAATAAAAGGAAATCATTATTTTAATTTTTAGTAGCAAATATATAAAGGAACTGATTTAAACTGATCTCTGGAAGAATGTACATCTACATGCCAAGATAGAAAAGCCTCTCCAAGATGGACTGTAACATGAAAAAAACAAGAGCTAGAAGACCATGAAGGGTATGTTCAGATTGTATATGGTTTTTCTTGGTCTTTTAGAGACAAGGTCTCCCTGTAGCCCCAGCTGTCCTGGAACTATGTGGACCAGGCTGGCCTTGAACTCACAGAGATCTGCATGCCTCTGCCTCCAGAGTGCTGGGATTAAAGGCGTGCACCACCATGCCTGGCCAAATTGTATATGTTTTTAAATTTATTTTATGTGTATGAATGTTTTGCCTGCCTGTACGTAACTACACCTGTGTCTTGCAGTGCCCACAGAAGTCAGAAGAGGGTGTCAGTCCCCCTGGAACTAGAGTTACAGATGGTTGCTAGCCGTCATGTGGTGCTGAGAACCAAACCTGGGTCCTTGGCAAGAGCAGCCAGTGCTCTTAACTGCCATCTCTCTAGCCCCTAGATTGTATGTTTTTAAAAATCTGTATGTATGCTGGGTGTGGGGGTGCATGCCTTTAATCTCAGCACTTAGGAGGCAGAAGCAGGTGGATCTCTGTGAGTTCAAGTCCAGCCTGGTCTACATAGTGAGTTCCAGGCCAGCTGGGGCTACAGAGAAACCCTGGCTTAAAAAGACACCCCCCACCCCGCCACAAAAAAACTTCTTATGTATATGTGTGTCTGTGTTTGGGTATGTGCACATGAGGCCAGAAGATGGTGCTGGATCCCTTCTGGAGCTGGAGCTGGAGCCATCTAATGTGGATGCTGGGACCCAAACTTGGGTTCTCTACAAGAGCAGTATGTGCTCTTAACTGGTGTTTTTTGTTGTTGAGACTAGGTTTCATGTACCTTGGGCTGTCCTGAACTCACCATGTAGCCAAGGATGACTTTGAACTTCTGATCCTCCAGCTACCTCCCAACTGTTAGGCTTATAGGAATTCACTACCGCTCTGAGTTTATGTGCTGCTCAAGATTGAACCCAGGACTTCATGCATGCTAGGCAAGCATTCTACCAACCCAACCACATCTATTCAGCCCCATCTTAG